AAGTATGCAGGACCTGAGGCCAAGTCCTTTAGGTAAACCCCTTCTTGCTGGCGGTCAGTGAAGGAGGGGTAGGGGGGCCCGGGCCCTCCCTCTCCACCGGGCTCCCACCCATGGCCCTATCAGTGGTGGGTGACTCACCCCACTGGCTCGGCGGGGGTCCCTTCCCGCAACACGCCGAGCCTTCTGGGGCCTTTCGGGCTCCCTGTCCTGGGTCACTTCCTACCCCCTTCCCCTGGTTGGCAACGGTCCCACCTGTTGTTGTTAGCCAGATGTCTGTAACAGCACCTTCCGACTTGGCGTCTGGGGTGGCAGGGGCGGGTCCAGCCTGGGTCCCATGTGGCTGGCTGGCGGCTTTGACATTGGGGCCGAGCCCAGCTTGGGCCTTGCGGTGGCGGGCCTGGCGCTTCTCTCTCTGGCTGATGGGTCGGAGGCTCTGGAGGTTGGGCCCTAGTTCCTGCTCCGTCAGCTGTCTGCCCCAACTGAAGAGGACTGCAGACCTCTGTACCTGAGGCCTCCTGGGAGCATGCCCAGTAGGGCAGCGTGGGTGCAGCCCTCTCTGCCCCCTGAGCCAGTGGTTTCCTGGGGCTAGAGTGCGGGGCGGGGTCGCCCCGTCACAGTCACGAATTGGAGAACAGTCATAGCCATGCTCTGCTGGACCACTCATGCGTGGCTTCCTTCTGGCGGCATTTGCGCCTTTCATCCGTCGTGGATGGTCTGGCCCCGCCCAGTTCCTCTCATATGCCCCTGGTCATGGATGGAGCTCCCTTCTCTCTTCTTGTTCTCTCACAATTTTTCCTCACAAACCTATCACTATCTGTAAATACTTAAGAGTTCATTAGTTAGTTTATAATTCTGTGGTTATCTCTTGTTAAATATAAAAAACATATTTTTTTTCTTCAGAAGTTATATAGAAGCTGTTGCAGCTACCCACTTCAAAACAAAAAACAACAATAAAAAAAGGGTGTGGGGACAGAAAGAAGGTGACAAACAGTTCAGCTAATCTGACTATGCCGGCATCCTCCAGATAAAAAAAGTTTTTTGCCTGCTGTGAAGCTATGCCGGCTTCTGATGGCCATGATGCTTGCATTTGGTGCTTGACTGAGACACACATCCCACAGAAAGGCACCTATTGCTGCAAGCTCACGTTGAGAGCTCAGAAGGATTGCGACATGAGGCTGAAAATGATTATGCTGCAGATTCCTTGGTGGCTACGGCAGTACTCTCTCGTACCCAGAAACTTTAATTCTGGCGCCCTCCGGCAATTTGGGTACTGCTGTAAAGTCACCAGGAGAGGAGCACTCACATGGACCACTCAAAGAAGAAGTTACTCACCCTGTGAAGTAATGATTGTTCTTCGAGATGTGTCCCCATAGGTGCTCCACGACCCGCCCTCCTCCCCGCTCCAGAATTGTTTTTATTATTTCAGATAGCGGGTGAGAGGAACTGGGCAGGGCCAGACCGCATGCAACGGATGAAAGGCACGAACGCCACCAGAAGAAAGCTATGCATGCGAGGTCCGGTGGAGCACAGCTATGACAGTTCTCTGATTCGCGGCACTGGGACAGGGCCTGACACCAGGAGTGGAGCACCCACAGGGACACATCTCGAAGAACAATCGTTACTTCCTAGGGAGAGTAACTTCTTCTTTCCCTGCCGGAGGCTGCCTGTGAGTTTCTCCTGGTGCAGGGAGATATCTCACAGTTTATCTGTGCCTGGCTGGTGCTGAGGCAGATGACTCTGAGGCTGCCACATCCCTCCCATTCATTCTGGGGGACCGAGATGGTGGCAGGCATCTGGCAGGGGAAATCCTGCTCCTTTGATGTGCCTTCAGCATTAAAGAGGCTGATTTACACCTGGGGATCTGTGTCCTTTGATCCTGTGCAGCCTCTGCCTGGGGCTGTATAGCCTTCTCCATACAGGACATAGGGAGCGGAAGCTCTCTGTCCTCCCTCGCTCTTGCAGGCAGGGTTTTACAATGGTCGCATTCCTGAGGACTGTGTGCCTCCCTCAAGCATCTGACAGCTGTGTCCATTTGAGAATAGTGGTAGAGATGTAGCCGTGTTAGTCTGGGATAGCTGAAGCAAAATGCAGGACAATGTAGCACTTTAAAGACTAACAAGATGGTTTATTAGATGATGAGCTTTCGTGGGCCAGACCCACTTCCTCAGATCAAATAGTGGAAAAAAATATATACCAAAGGATACAATTAAAAAAAAAAAGTGAACAAATATGCATTTGAGGCTGGGATAGGATCACTGCAGCTAAGGCACTTTTTAAAGCCTTGTGAGGCAGGTATATTCCAGCTGTTGGCAGTTGGGCTAGAGGCGGGAGAGGTTAGTGAAGGTGCTGACTTCCCTGTTGATGTGAGGGTGTCAGGTTGTGAAGGTGTGGGGTTTTTTGTGTGTGATTTTTTTTTGAGCCAGCTGACGGACAGCAAAGGCTGCCGCTGAAGCTGCTAGTGGTGAGGAAACAGTTCCCCAGCTTGATTTGTTTGCCTTCGAAGTGGTAATAAAGTGTCAAGGATCCAAGATGAATTGAGGTCAAAAGGGTGAGGGTTTTATCCAAGTGCGTGAAGCGGCAGGCCGACTCCGTCTAGGCCAAGTGCGGTAGAAGAGGAACTGAGGGGAGGGGAGGGGGGTTGGGCCCCGTTCAACTGTCAAACTGTCAGCAGCGCGAGACACCTGCTGCACATGCGTGCCCGACTAGCAACTGCTTAGAAAAAGCTCTAATCTGCGGCACCAGGATGAGCCCAACACCATATGTTGCACCCACGGGGACATCACCCGAAAAAGAACTAAGGGTCTGGTGGACAGAGCCTGAGGGGAGTGTATCCCAGGAATTATATGAGCCAATAAAGCAGGGTGGATAACATAAGAATGGCCATACGGGGTCAGACCAAAAGTCCATCTAGTCCAGTATCCTGTCTGTCGACAGTGGCTGATGCCAGATGCCCCAGAGGGAGGGAATACAACCAGTAATTCTCACATCATCTCGCCGCTGTCACCCATTTCCAGACAAACAGAGGCTAGGGACACCATTCCTACCCATCCTGGCTAATAGCCATTGATGGACCTAACCTCCAGGAATCTATCCAGCTCTTTTTTGAACCCTGTTAAAGTCCTACTTAAAGTAGGACTTCAACAGGGGTTAAAAAATTATTATTAAAAAAATCAATTAAAGAACAGGTGTTTTTAATTTAAATGGGATTTGTTTAAACACATTTTTCTTTTTAAAAATAAACATGTTTAAGTAAGATTATACTAAGTCTAAGCCTATTAAAATAATTTAAATAAATTTGGTGAACCACTTCAAATATTAAGGAGTTCAAGAGTATTGTTTTTTATTATATGGTGGGGGTGGCTATAATTAGAGGTCAGGTCAAGCTTTATAAATGTCACCATGTCATGAATTGCATTATCTGTATTATTTTCAGTTTTATCATGAAACAAATGCTGGTATTCACATTTTTCCAAATGTAAGTATTTTCTGTTGTGCAGAAAAGAAAGCTTTTATCTTAGTTACATCTTGTTTCTTAAGGAAACATAAAAGTAGGAGAAAAAAATAAATTAGATTCTTAAGTATTGAATAGCTATAAAATTTACAAGATTATTAGAAGATTTCATCCAGGCACATAATATGAGCTCAGTATGTTTCAAATGTATGTCCTCTCTGTATAATGGTATGGGACACAATCGTAGCAATGGGGAAGAGAGGGGACAACAAAAACTCTTTCAAAGAACAAGCCAAAATTGTACAGTACGTTTGGGGACTAGGATTCTGACTAGGAGACCAATCTTCCATATCAGTCTTTGACTAGAAGATGAAGATATGGCTTTGAAGCACCAGATTTAGGAAGCTTGAGTTTGTTCACTTATATCCATTCTCCAGAATGAACTCTCAATAGCTGTCACAGTCAACTGTAGATATGTGACCCTAGTTCAATCCATAACACTTCCCTGAGGAGTGATCCACAAAGAGACTTAGGTGTCCAGAAAAATCCCCATAACAGTGCTATCCATAAAGTCTGAATTAGGTAAAATGAATGGGGAAAGAAAGATGCCTTAGCACAGGGGTATTCAACCTTTTCTCTGTCATCCGCCCTCCTCCCCACCGTAACATGCTATAGTAAGTTAATGGCCTACCTTTGTCAGAACTGTTTTACTGCATAGAAAAGCCAGAGCCAGTGTTAGGAGGTACAAGCAGGCAACTGCCCAGGGCCCCTGCAAAGCTGTGTGACTGAACTTGATTCTTTTATAAATTTCAGGTAACTGGACATTTTAATATCAATATTATTTTATCAGTATACCCTACAAACGGATTTTCATCTCCCGAATCTAGAGACTGCACCAATCTCCCTCTAGCTGTGCCTGTGCACCCTCTATGGGACTGTCGACTAGTGATGTGAAAGAGTAAACATATACACAGTTAACCGAGGAGTCTGGGCTCATCTGTTAACCTTCATGGACAGCAGTGCAAGGGAGGAGAGACAGGTGAGTACCAGCTCCTGGGAGCCATCTACCTGCCCCCACTGCTGCCTCTGATACTGAGGCAGCAGCATGGGGGAGGGGCAGGTGGAAACTGGTAAATGTGGGAAGCTGGCTTTTAAACCCATCCCCATGCACACTGGCTCCCACAAAGTGCAGGGTGGGGAGGTGGCTCCACATGAACCAGTATGTATAGAGAGCTGGCTTTAAGCTGCCCCATTTCTCCCCTTTTAAATGTGTAACTGTTGAAATTCAGTGATTTTACATAAACCATTGTAACATTCTTACTGTTGACATTACAGCTGAGAGTGAGGGTCCCAAAATATGCATACAGTGCAATGAAACATGCATGGCTGGGTTAGCTAATTCTTGCTCAGATAGCTCAGGACAGATGCAGTGTAAACATACCCTTAGTCTTCTCAACACAGACATATAAAACAGTATTGCTAACATCAAGTAGTAACAAATCATGAATGAAGCATCTCCCAAACGTAAAATGTTTAAAAGTGAGCTATTTTGTACTTATCTGTTTGTTTTTGAGCCTTTACAAGTTTATTTGTAAGCTTTAAAAAAAGACACTTTTTAAAAATGAAAGCTGAGATTTTCACATCATAGGATTGCAGAGCTGGAAGGAACCTCATATCATGAAGATTCAGCCCCCTGCATTGGGGGTAAGACCAAGGAAACCTAGAGCATCCAACTTATTTTTAAACGTTTCCAAAAATGGGGACTCCATGGTCTCCCTTGTAAGCCATATTCCAAAGCTTAACTACCCTTCTAGTTAGGAAAAACTTTGATACATAGCCTAAATTTCTTTTGCTGCAGCTATTCTATTACAAGAAGTCTATTACTTCTGGTCATCTTCAATGGACATGGAGAACAATTGATCCCTGTCCTCTTTATAACAAGCCCTTAACATCAAAGACTATTAGCAGGTCACACTTCAGTCTCTTCTCAAGATTAAACATACCCAGTTTTTTCAACTTTGCGTCATACATCAAGTTTCCGAAACCTTTTAGCATCATTTTTGTTGCTCTCTTCTGTGCTCTTTCCAATTTGTCCACATCCTTCCTGGATTGTGGGGCCCAGAACTGGACTTATTACTCCAGCTTGAGTGTTACAGTGCCAAGCAGAACAGGCTCTTTATCTCTTGTGTCCTACATACAACCCTCCTCCTGTTAACATACTTCATAGTCTCCTCATTCTGCAGCTGCAGCACATTGACGCTCATATTCAGTTCATTGTCCCCTCCATCCTTTTCAGCTGTACTACCACTAGACGGTTGTTCCCCATTTCCTAGACATGCATTTGATTTGTCTTTGGGAACGTGTCTGCGGGAGCTGGGACTGGATGGCACACGAGGCTTGTTAGAAAAACCACAGGCTGGCAAGGTCAGAAACAGAAGCTAACCCCGGCTGGCTGGGGCCGGGCTCAGAGCACTCACTGCTGTCCAGGTGTAACACCTTTGGTTGCTTACTGTGATGTGGCCTCCCCCAGCTCTGGCGAGCTGCACGGACAGGTAAAGGGGGAGGTGCTGAACCAATCTCCGCCGAGAGTCAGCGAACGAGACCGTAATGGAAACCACTTCAACCCCCTCCCTGCGCAGGTTGGAATCGTTCCCTAGCAACGCAGCGCTCCGCCTGCCGGACGCCAGTAACGGACTCTGTAAGCTCGAGCTGCTGCCATCTCTCGGCTGTTCCTAGGACTGCGCACTTCCCCCAACTATGCCGAGGGCCTAGCCTACGTAGCCTCTCGCGGCTGTTCCTGCCACTCCCCCTCTCCCTCTTCCCCTTCCTGCTTCTCGCGAGACTGTTAGTGGCGCTCGGGACAAATTTGAAGCTAACGGCGGCGCGAGACGAGCTGTTGCAGGGCGCGAGAGCTGGAGCGCTGGTGAGAGCGACTAACGCGATTGATTCCGCAGGTGGGAGACGCCCGGGGCCTGGTACCGACCGAGCGGCGTTGGAAGGAGCAGGGCTCGCTCCTGCGTCCCGCAGTGCAGCGCCCCCCCCCCCCCGGGGGGGGGGGGGGGGGGGGGGGGGGGGGGAGTATCTTTGCACGTGTGCTGTCAGCAGCCCCACCTATACCCCAGCTGTGCTGGCTGGGCAGCAGGAGCTGCTTGGTGGTGCGTGGACCTGAGGAGGCCCTGCAGCAGTCCCGGACCTTTCCCCACCAGCACCCCGGCTCAGCGACGTGCTCGTATCTCCCCAGCAATGGGAGCGGAGAAGAAGCTGCTGCAGATCAAAGATGCATTCGAGATGGCTCAGAAACCTCACCAGAACCATGCCAAGCTCGTGGCAGGTTTGAAGCGGACCTACAATCAGGTGAATATCCTCCAAGGGATTGGCCGTACCAAGAGCACAAGTGTGGGAGGGCACTTTTTAAAATTCGAGTTGAGCTAAGGGCCATTAGCAGCTTTAGTTCCTTCTATTCCATGTGGAACCCAGGCTGGTTTTTGTGTGACCTAGATTATAGAGCACTGTGCTCCGGACAGCTGGGGTCTAGTCCCGGCTCTGCCACTGGGCAAGTCACTTTCCTGCCCTGTGCATCGATTTCCTCATCTGTAAAATGGAGATCGTAATACTAATTCTATTTATAAACCATTTTGAGCTATGTGGATGTAAACAACAAACCAGGCATTATTATTTATTATTCCACCTTGCTTTCTCCAAAATGCATAACAGCATGTGCATTAAACAAACCTAAAAACAAAGCTTTATCAAACAGTACACTGTATCCTCAATTCTCCAACCGGGAAGAAGAAAAAGAAAACTTCATATGACAAATAATACTTACCTTGAGTCATGCAATATTGGAAAATACTCCGACACCACAGTGACAAAGTGGTGAAAGAACCTCTTTAGATTAATGTTGACATCTCAAGTTAGACAGGAGCCTACAAACTATGGTACAGATTGTTACAGTTTAGTTCTTGAGTAGGACATTTTGCTGAAAGCACATTGTGCAGAAAATCTATACTTACTGATTCAGACTTATAAAGACCTAAATGTGAGCTGCTTATCTGAGACACTACCTCTTTTCTCTGATTCTGTCATGGTAAGATTGCTAATGTTCTGTGTTTTTAATATATTGCAGCTGAAGGATAAGATGATTTTTCATGAGGAGTTTGTTCATTACCTTAAGTATCCTATGATAATCTACAAACGTGAACCAGCAGTGGAACAAGTGATAAATTTTGCAGCTAAGTTTGTTACTTCATTTCATTTGCTGGAGAAAGAAGATGATACCGAGGAAGAAGAGGAAAACTCACTTCTGAGTTATTTGTTTAATTTTTTGTTTAAGGTACCATGACAACATTTACCAAATTGTTAATGTGATGGTGAAATCCCCATGTAAGGGAAGAACTTGACACTTGTGTTCCAGTTGATAAGTACATTACTATATAAATCTGAGGCCTGATCTAAACTTAAGTTTTGCCAGCATGGCTAGGTATGGGGAGTAATTTTGTTTGTTTGAAGCTATTTCAGTAAAAGAGCTAGTGTAGATGGACTTATCTATGTAAAAGTGCTTCTAGAGGTATAGTTTGTCTATTGCTCAAACAAGAGTAAACTATACTGATAGAAGCTATATCAATATATGTCTGCATTAGGAGGGTTTGGTGGTTTAAGTATACCCGTGTAGTTAAACCAAGAGCAGCTGCCTGTTATACCACTCATTTGAGTGCTACTGTGCAGCTCTGCAGAGGAGGTGGGAGGGAGGAGAATTTTTTGTTTATGATGTTGTATCTGTGGTCAAAATCATAACCCTTTGGCCATTGTGATGTCTTTTTTTTGTTTTTAGTCTCACAGTGCGAACAGCCATGCTGTTAGATTTCGAGTTTGCCAGCTTGTTAATAAGCTTTTGGGAAGTATGCCAGAGAATGCCCAGATTGATGATGATCTCTTTGATAAAATTAACGAAGCTATGCTAATTAGACTAAAGGATAAGATTCCAAATGTGAGAATCCAAGCTGTACTGGCGTTGGCTAGACTTCAGGATCCCAGTAATGGGAACTGTCCCGTGGTTAATGGTGTGTTTGTATACCTGTTATCCTTTTCTTTTTGTAAGCACAGTTGAGTTAACTTGTTCTAAAATTTTCTTTGTGAGCATTATCTAAACCTGGGCTACTCCACTTTGGAAGCCCCAAGGGCCACAGTGATTCTTACAGCATATGCCAAGGGCCGCAACTTAAGTGTGGTTGTGTGTGTGTGTGTGTATATATGTATGCAAATAGCTTATTTCACACAATGCCTTGGTGCTCTTGGCACCTCCTCCCTGGGGGGTTAGAAACGCTGACACACTGTACCCATCTGTGCCAACCAGCCTGTGTGCTTGCGTCTTTCAGTGCTCACCCTGCCTGTGAGACGCCTCGCTGTTGTGGAGCATGTTCCCATTCAAAGGATCCCACCTGTGGGTCATGTGTTGACCCCCACGCAAACCCAAATCGCACCGTGGGCCACAAACAAACGGGCCTCATACAGCCCATGGGCCACATGTTGAGTAGGCCTAGTCAAACTTTGAATACTATACAAAATGTAGCTGTCATTTGTTTACTAATTCTAGCAATTTTAAGGCAGATATATAGAATCAGAAAATATTTGAATCTGTAATGTTTAAAATGTACTTAACATATTTAATTTTTATCTCCTAGCATAAAGGGCCATATAGTAAAACACAAATCAAAATAAAAAATAAAGATTGCCAATCAAAAGAGCTAACTGTTGGTAATATTGCACTATCAAATAAAAGGCATTTTAAATGCTCCCAAAGGTTGAGAGAAATGGGATTAACAGATCTAAGTAATGAAAAGTAAAACAAAGTAAAAAATCAGGATAAGCCTGGCAATGCAAATAGATTTCTGCTGTGCCCTGAAGTTAGTGTAGAGTGTAGCCCTGATTCTGTGGGGAAGAGTTTCTGAACTGAAAGGCCTGCTTGATGCTTCATGTGTCATTTTGAGAGAAGCTACGGACTGGACCCTTAAACAGCAATGATCTTTTGTATCTGTTGTTACATTTAGGGCCCAGAATGTTCTATAAAGTGATTACCACATAAGAGAGGCTTTTTAATACAATTTGAGAAATAGATCAAATTTAGTTGCAGGTATCTTGTAGATGGGTTTTATTTTATTATGATGTGAATTTCAGTTTTTAAAGAGACATTTAGTGCTAATGATTGATTTTTTTTTCTTTCAGTTTACAACGCTTTGCTTGAAAATGATTCAAATTCAGAAGTGAGGCGTGCAGTGTTGTCATGTATTGCCCCATCAGCTAAAACTTTGCCAAAAATTGTAGGCCGCACTATGGATGTTAAAGAGGCTGTCAGGAAACTGGCGTATGAGGTAAATAGGTCTCTTACTTTTCTTATTGGGAACACCTAATAAGCTTTACAAAAATATATAACCTTGTAACTAAAATTAACTTCCAGGACTGGTATGTTCGGTTATGAGAAAAACCACTGCATAAAACTGCTACGCTCAAGGACTCTCAAGGTGTGTCTACATAGCACCCTTACTGCAAAATAAGCACGCAGTTTGTGATATACAAATTGCATACCTTATTTCAATCTTATTTTGAAACTTAGCGGTTTTCTTTCAAAGAGCACCATTCCAAAATGTCCCTTAAACCTCGTGCAGTGAGGTTTGCAGGGATGTCGGGATAGCAAGCCTGTTCTATTTCAACATAATAGGCTTGCTCTTAAGACATGGAATAGCTTCCTAGAGTCAGCTGCTGGTCGGTTTCAGCAGCTGCTGAATTGGGGACGCCTGGGGCAGAGCAGCTGGGGTGCTGCCGGGTTGGTCCAGTAGCGCCGAGGAGTGGCGCTGCGGGGACCAACCCG